ATTTCGAGAAATCAAGCGTGACGTGACATACACTGGCTTTAATATAGATTAGATTCTTATTTGACTTATCTGCAGATTCAGAGAACCAAACTATTAGGAAACATTAGTAACGAGAGCTGAAACTAAATAATGTTAAAAAAATGAATTCTACACAATAGGTATCACTGTTTTTTTATAAGAATAAACAACACATCTTTAGCTTCATAAACATTTTTGTTATTTTAAAGCTAAAGAATTTGGATAGTATACCTGTAGGTGTATTCAGTGGTGGATCGGGCCACAGTGATACCAGGAAAATTCCCAGTGGGCTGGTCGTCCATTGAAAAAAACTGTGACAATTATTTTACTAAACACTATTTAATTTGGATTTAATATGGTCTTATATTTTCCATTAAAGGCTAATAGTGCAGATGAGTGATAAATGAGTTGTTAGTTTACTCTTTTAAGATTCCTTTTTTTATTTTGTGAAGTAGTTTCAGTTCATGGAATTTTGTGTTCATAAAGGTCTTCGTGTGGTTGACGTATTGTTATATATTCTCCTTCACATTCGCTCACTCTCTTAGAATTACTAAGCTGGCTGATAAGTATAATAAACATTGAATTGTAGCATGACATATATAATTTTAATTGGTGAGTTGTACGAATACATAGGCTATGCAGCATTAAGTGCAGTACCATACTTGTGTTTTTTGAAAACCCTTTTACACCAACCTTATTGGATGGCTTATATAAAAATGATTTTCCTGGAACATTTTAATTTCCCAATCCACCACTGGTTGTATTAATTAAAATAAAATATAAAGATTGAAGTTAAAAATGTGCTTTCCTACCACTTTTATATTTAAAGCAAGTACACTGGATCCATGCTATAATGCAGTCCATATCATTGAGACTGTATTTCAACATTGTCCTTTCAAAAGCATCAAGCCAGTTACAGAACTACTGATCAACTGATTAAAAAAGGCCTCATAAACATTTCTGGATTAGAAATATGCTGCATTTAATTTCTGTTCATCATCTTGAGAATAATAGTTACTTTGGTTTTAAAATCTGGGAGATTTAGTCCTACTTTTTATATATTTTTGTGAGACTGTGTAAACTTCACTCAAAGCTGAAATGTGATTTTGTGTAGTCACCCTGCTAATTGTTTTAAAAACAAGAAAATTCCTTAACTTCTAGTACCTTCGGTCTTGTAAGTTACACGAAGTTTAACTGAGTAAATGATTACGTAAATGTCAGACTAGTTGTTTATCATTATAAATGATGACTGAACATAAAAATATTTAATTTGAAGTCTTTTTTCTTTTTATTGATTTACTTTCTATCCTTGATATTACTTAACTTTTACAGGCCTCAAATTCCACTTATCCTCTCATATATATACGAGTAGTGGATGAATGAGGGCAATATGACTTTTCCATGATGAGTTCGTTGTTTCAGGTGATTAAAATTAACTCGCTTGTAGTGTAATTGCACATTTAAAAATAATTGGGCAGACATCATTAAATACCTTCTTTTATTTCTACTTATCGTTAAATTGTCACTGTTTTCAATATCGCAGTATATGTATTTATTTCGGCATCTAGGGCCCTGATGCTGTTACAATGCGTAATGAATGGTGTAGTAATTAGTACCATTACTCTGTTCTAAGGCCTGTGATGCTGAAGAATTATAATTTTGTAAAACCAATGCTTAGTTTATCCATAATTACAAAACATCTGTACAGGAGCATTTTTCTTAGTGTCGATTCTCAGCTTTGTTTGACAACGGAGGGCATGTATTTCCTAACAGCTCCATACACTTTCAAACATGCCACCCTCTGACATTTGCCATGGGATATTTCATCCTCTTATGGATGTTTTGATTATATATAACCTTATTTGGATTGAGAGATCAATACACCAATTGATTATTGGTTTTCTGAGTATGACATGTATCGTGTTTACATGTACATCATGTGAAATGATGAAAATCATTGATTTCTGCATTGTACAAAGGACTATTACTATAGATAGGTAATTTATTTACTAGGATCCATCGCGGTCCGGATGAGTTGAAAATGTTCGGAAACTTCTGCCGATAATCAATACAACGTGTAAAGTTTCACCATATTTATTATAATATAATAATTGTTTTGATAAACAAAAATACAGTAGTGACATTAGCTTATTGTTTTCATTATACTTCTCTTTGTAGGACAAGTAAAAATTTTATGTCGCTTGTCCTGCAGGGAGATAAGCTGTTCCAAACATTTTTGAGCTCTGTTTTATATTTACTTAATTACTTTTTGTTTTTGTAGCTTTAACCGTAAAATGAAATAATGATTTGATTTTTGTATTTTATTGATTGAGAAGATGTTTAATGTGGGGGTTTATTTGGAAATTGTTATGTTAAAATGTGTCATTTGAACTGTTCTATGTATATCCATAAAATTGATGTATGAGAAAATGTCAAATAAAAGAATGATGTGTAATGTTAGGCCCATCTGTGTACTTGTCACCAGTTTTTGGTCTGTAGCTTTGCCTAGACATAATGAATATCAAAAATTTTTTTTTCATCAAATCAAACATGTAAACTTTCATTATACAATATTCACTGTGAGAGGTACATTAGTTAACTGTATTCATCAAAGTACTGTTTTTCATCTGCCAACTATTTATTTCATGTACTCATTCATGACAGTGTTGGGGTCCAAGACGGACCCATGCGTTATAACTAGTTCTGTGCTATAGCAGACCACATTATAGCAGGGCCTCATTGTTTTCTTGTTAGAGTTATCTAAGCAGCTTTCCAGTTTACCCAACACAGTTTTCAACTTTTATTTGTCAAGAATATTGCTCGTTGTTTCTCCTTTTTTTTAGGATTCATATTTGTGTCAAAAAAATATTTAACCAGTTTTTTGTGTTTGTTTGTTGTGTATATTAGTGTTGTGCATCAGGGAGAAGTTCAAAATCTTAAAAATTCTCAGGAGGGAAATCAATTTTGAAAGCTAATAATGATGGTAGCCATATTGGAAAAATGTTTAAGTAGTGAGTGTTGGAGCACTGGAAAAATGAATATGGAATATAATATGTGTAGGGAAAATAGTCAAGGATCATGTGTGTTGCATAGAAAGTGTCTTAAAATATCAATGAATTTAAAGTGATAGGCAAAAATCCAGCTGAAGCCTTTCTTGGGTTTAGTGATAGTAGATTTGTAAACATATAAGAACCAGAGACATAGGGATAGTGCTAATTAGCAGTCCTAAGAATCCAAGACAGGCCTAGCTAGCCACTGAGGGACTAAACACTTGCTGTAGAAACTTGAGCAGAGCCTTGAAAACACTGGAAAAGGTAGAGTGATGTGAATTGTTTTTGGATAGGAGAGTGTGTGGCAAAGTTTTGTGGGATGATGCAGCTGACAGGCTTTAGCCTAACAGGAGGGAGAAGAAGAAGGTAAAAGCCAAGGCAGTATGAATTGATTTTGTGATAAATGTCAGTGTCTAGTAGCAGTTACACTAAAATTCTTCAGTTAAATTAAGAATAGACAAAATGAGAGGGAAAATGAGACAGAATATTGTGGGAATATTGGGACAATCAGGACTGTAATTACAGTATTGTGGTGTCTGTTGTTGATAATATATTGAATTTTTGTGTTCGTAAGTTTTCTTTAAAATCTAAAATTCTTAAACACTAGTTCATGATTTTGCTTGTAATCATCATATTTTGAGACAACTGACAGCACCCTAACAACAAATCAAATTATTCAGAACAATTGTTATTTTAAGTATCATTTAAACATGGTATGGGTTATCGTAGAATGCTTACAAGCTGAACACCATGTTGAAATATATAGCCTAAAAGTTTCTTCGACCCACAATGTTTCCAATTCTCTGTCAGGCGGAATTGTAGCAGTAAACTGTGTGATATACAACATTGTTAATATGTGCGTTATTATGACAGTGATTTTGGTGATGACATGACTGAATCCTTGCTTTGTTGGTATGATGATGTGTCGTGATGTATGTTCAGTAGTCAATCAGTTAGAAGTTGACTTGTCCCATTGGCAAGTTGAAATTATGTTCAATGAACATTATTTGGGTTTTGATTACATACTAGAGAAGTTTTATGCTCGGGCCTAAGCACCGTTTATAGGAGAAAGATGCAAGACTTAATCACTCGAAAAAGTTAAGTATACTTGGGGTCAGTGGTGCAAGATATAGAAGTACTTGAATGCAGGGGTGGGGTGTTCTTAAACTTTAAATAAAAAAATACAAATTATCGTAGTTTATTTGTGCACTTAACTTAGGGTAACATGTTAAATAACAGTTAGTTATTTCAAGATAAAACAGGTGTATATGATATTGACTTAAATTAAAATAATAAAATAAACATTGGTAATGCATGTCTGACAATAATCCTCTTCGTGCTGACTGATATACAATGCAATTGTAATACGAGTAAGGGCTAATTAACATTAGTGCAAATTATTAATTACAATTCAATACAATTGTGACTCCACAGTTTTAATAGTTTTAAAATATGCTGGACAAAACAAAAGCTTATTCAAACAAGCAAAAAAAAAGACTATCAAATGAGCTGAGTCATTAACAGAAATTCTAAATGACCACATTTACTGAATAAAATTTTAACAAGTTCTCTGTCACTTACAGTCCTCCATGAAGAGATGTAGTCCAAGTGGAATGCACTTGTATACCATTCTGGTACTTTTTTTATATGACAAAATAAGTCAGTTCCGAAGTTTTCAAGTGTCAATCATGGTGGTACACTCAGTTCTCTGTTAATTCGCATGAACACACCACTTATTTGTACAAATGAGCACTTTTCCTTTCTGCAAACACACTGACAGGTAGCCTTGTATAGGTTACAAAAGACCATGTTGTTATGGAAACAAGAGGCTACACATTTTTAATAGTGGTCAAAATAAGCAGTTTCCGGTTGTCAGAGAAAACCAAAATTATCACAGATAAACTAAAATGCATTACTATGTTGCCGATAGGATAACCATAACATGGTTCACTTCCATGGCAGTCTAGGCATCTAGCCCATACTGGAACGTTCAGAGTACCACATAAAATACGAGTAGTACATCTATACATACTGTGTTCCAATTTTTGCAGGGACGTGATCAACAATACTATGCACTATTTACCTATAAGAGTGATCATTATATCATCTTGCAAACCTGTCACAATTTACAACCAATAACAAATCACCATTCAAAATATTTCGATAACACTACATTTATCCCCCCTCCCCCCCATTTACATTTTGCATGTTTTGGAACATTAGACTTAAGATATCATTTTTGACAAGTTGTCATAAGCTTTGTTTTTTTGCTTTAACTTTGTGTCAAGGACAAACGATCAAGACAACACAGGAAAGAAGTTTTTGAAAAGAGAAGCCAATCACAATTACAATAAAAACAAATACAAAAGAACGTTCCAAAATTCCTGTTAAATGGCTGTCCATGGCAGAAATATGACGAAGAGAAAGGGGGTCATGTTCCGCACATGAATTTCCTCGATAAAATGACGATTTTTCATCAACTAATGAGCTTTCTGGTGTGATATTTGATTTAAAACAACGTAACACCAAGTTTGTAACGTTTATTAGTCAACCAACTTGTTCAGTCAAGCGTGAACAATTACAGTTTATTGCAAACAAACATAATTGGTCCAAAGGTTGTCAGCTGTACAACCCAGTCTTTAAGTCTTATTTTGAATGCTACACCTTTTTTGGCATACTTTGACATTTGACCTAACAAATTCAATCTGGCATGGCTATATATTAACACTTACGCTAACTGGCTGCTAGAACACATGCAGAATGTTTATTGTGCATGATGCAAAAACAAAAAGGAGATAAGTTAATCGTATGGGTTATTACTAGAACTTTTTTGTACAGCTGTTATTGTGTTTTTTTTTATAAAACATAATAAAACATTGGTTATTTAATTTTGGTAGAGTACACATTCTGTTAAAATCAGCAGATTAGGTCCTTCAAAATAACAGTTTTATTCTGAAAAGCCTTGGTATTTGTATTTCATTAGTCTGTGGGTGTTCTCCGTGCGATCCTGGTGTTGAATAATTTGGGTGTTCTCTGTGCATTCCTGGTGTTAAGTAATTTGGGTGTTCTCTGTGTGATTCTGGTGTTGAATAACCTGGGTGTTGTCTGTGCAATACTGGTGTTGAATAATTTGGGTGTTCTCTGTGCAATCCTGGAGTTGAATAACTTGGGTGTTCTTTGTGCGATTCTGGTGTTGAATAACTTGGGTGTTCTTTGTGCGATTCTGGTGTTGAATAACTTGGGTGTTCTTTGTGCGATTCTGGTGTTGAATAACTTGGGTGTTCTTTGTGTGATCCTGGTGTTGAATAACTTGGGTGTTCTCTGTGTGATCCTGGTGTTGAATAACCTGGGTGTTCTCTGTACGATCCTAGTGTTGAATAACGTGGGTGTTCTCTGTGTTATCCTGGTGTTGAATAACTGGTGTTTATAGGGTCTTCATAAGTTGAACAGAACATGACAAGTCTGTACATATTAATTGATTTTCATTTCTATTCTTATTGCTTAGAAAAAATACCCAAGGCATAAAGAAATTACAACCCATATTAGAAGTGAGGAGTGTGGATTAACACCTGAAAATAGGCAAATTACAACAACTTTCACCATTAACAATAGTTTTGTTAATTAAGGGCCTTATATTTCCATTCCCTGTTACATAAATAAATATGAATTAAAGTATTTTTTTACAAGTAATTCTTTGAGTTTCTTTGGTTTGTTAAAAAATTGTTTGTGCTACTATTATTGTTTATTTTACAGTAACTGCTTGTTTAGAGCACTTGGTGATCAACTTGAAGGACACACACGAAATCACCTTGTTCATCGTCAAAATGTGGTGGACTACATGAAAAATCACCGACAGGACTTTGAACCTTTTGTCGAAGATGATGTACCGTTTGATAGGCATTGTAAGTTGTAAAAACTAAGAAGTTTAAAAAATTCAATCTTTTAATGTTTTTTCAGTTTTCTTACCAACTCTAAGGAGCTCTTCCATATATTGACTTCCTTTCAATCGAGGACTGGTGGCAAGGTGTGTTTAAGTTTAAAATTTCTTTTTTTCTTTTTGGAGGAATTATCCTTGTATTTTAAGAAAAAAAATTTTTTTTTCATATTTAAATATATTTTCTCCTTCAAGTAAATAGTGTTAATAGTACCTTATTACACAGATCTTTACAAATATAAAATGTTTGGAATGGTAACATTTTATAATGAAAATACATCTGATAAGAAGCCCAAGACTGAATTTGGTTTTGTTTTTTGAGTAAAATATAAGGTATTAAATTCAATTTATTTACTAAATTGAAATTGTATATAATATATACACATTGTTACAGGCAGCCATTTGTACTTTATAGAGAAAATAATGTTAGCAGTTGGGATAATAAAATAAACTGCTAGGCTCAATATTTGGCAGTTTATGTAGAAGAATTCCTTTTGATCATGACACTAAATCTGTTGCACGTGTGTACAATATTTGAGCTCTTACTGTCAGTAAAGTTTAAATTAATGACTTAAATAATATCGCAAACTGTCGTTTGGATAAAATGACCAGTTAGGGAAACTTATGAAGAAACTGGTTATAAAATGGCAAAAGGCTTAACATAAAGTTCCATAAAAGAATTGCCTTTGACATGGTTCATTGATTAGGTGAATAGTGTGTGAAGTAACTTTTATCCAAAGCTATCAGATAGGCCATGAGAGATGTTTAAACACTTGGTTAGTTTACGATGCTATACAACTGCTTTAATTTGACCGTTTGTTATCTCCTATAGTGTGCAACCTTTCAGAATCGGGAACTCATGCAGGAAATGATGCCATTGTTGCATTTGCTCGCTTTCACGAAGTAGTTGTTGTGATTCACCAGCTTAATTCACCTCTTTGGCAGGTAGGCGTATCTTTATATTGATTATCAAATAAATAATGAATTTTCACCCTCTTTGGCAGGTAGGCGTATCTTTATATTGATTATCAAATAAATAATAAACTTATACCCTCTTTGGCAGGCAGGCATATCTTTATGTTAATTATCAAATAAATAATGAATTTTCACCCTCTTTGGCAGGTAGGCATATCTTTATGTTGATTATCAAATAAATAATGAATTTATACCCTCATTGGCAGGTAGGCATATCTTTATGTTAATTATCAAATACATAATGAATTTATACCCTCTTTGGCAGGTAGGCGTATCTTTATATTGATTATCAAATACATAATGAATTTATATCCTATACTTGTAATAGTATATTCACAGTGGAATGGAATTTACTGAGCTGCAGATGAAGTCTGTTAAAAAAAAACGTTTTTTCTTTTTGTACAGAAACTGTGCTCATCATTAGCTTTTATTATGATTTGAATAGATGACTACATCATATTCACTTGAGGAAGGTTCCAATACATTTGACTTGGATCTCATCTTAATATTTGCATGATTGCTTGTCGGTTCATTTGACCTTGTGGTTCTTCACAAGGTCAGATTAGTTCTTACATGCGATGGTTTCAGGTTTTTAAATAGTTAGTTTTTTTGCTTTTATTGTGTTTTACTGCATCATTAACTGTGGTTCAAAATGAGTGAAAATTGTAATTTTTTTATCTATTATTACCGTATTTTTCGAAATATAAGACGTACCAGTGTATAAGAAGCACCCTTATTTTGAAGAC